TGCTTTACAAATTGTGTTTTTGTTATATTTTATGAAATATAAAGTGTTTGTTTAAACTGAATGAAGCAAAGAGCACCCTCAATGGGCTGATACATCAGGAGTTGGACATTGAGTCAGTGATGAGCCTGTCAGTCAGCCTGTGGCTGCACAGATTCTAAGGGGGGCCAAGGTAGTCATCATCATCATAATGATGATACAATCCTTGCATTTGATATTGCGCCCTTCATGTTAGGCGGTCGTCTCAAAGCTCTAATGCAGTGCTGGGGGGAGCAGAGGTACAGTCCTTTGGATGAGATGATAAACTGAGGTCCTGCCTGTTCAGGTGGATGTTAAAGATCCTGTGGGTTCTATTGGAAAAGAGAAGGGAGTTTCTTTCTCTCTCTCTCCTCTCCTGGTGTCCTGGCTGACAATCCCCCAGATAAAATAGCTCATTCACTTCATGGCTGTTTGCTCTGCGCAAATTGGCTGCCTCGTTCACCTACAAATACAGTCACTACACTTTATGGCGAATCCTGTGAAGCACGGTAAAATGTCTGGACGGCTGGAATAAGGCGCAATATCAAATGCGAGGATGGTTATTGTTGCATTCAGTGGCCAGCCCTCTGTAACTCCAGTGTCACGTGGATTCTCGCTGGCTTTTATACGCTGACTTCCCCTATTTTATGAAGCTAAAACGATTTTATTGTGTTGCAATTTATCCATGGCCCCATTTCAAAATCGTCAGCAACGCCCAAGAACGTTAATATGATGGAACTGAGCAGGGACAACTCTTTCAGAGAGCTGGCACGGGTGCTGTGAAAGGCTAGGCTGGGTTTTCACAGCACAGGCAGAGACGTCTCGAAGATGTGATGAGGCGCTATATCAAAGGCAAGGATTATTATTCTTATTCTCCTTTCCTTCGTTTTGAAATGAAATCTTCAGTGTGTGAGTACCACTTTTGTACAGTGAACCCCAGGCCCTTTCCCCCGCTGGGCTGTCCTGTCCACATACTAGGACCTAAAGTCGTTAACGTTCTGTTTAGGCTGCAAATAGCTGCTTAAAATATCAGCCAGAGTCTGAGAAATGCCACTGCCACTTTTAGCACAAGGGCCAGCGCAGGAGTGACACAGAGAGAGAGAGAGAGATCTAAACATGCATATAGAGAGAAGGGCGACAGCGAGACACACAGCCTGGCAGTGTCAGTGCCAGGGACTCTTATTTGGGATAGTTTCAGGTAACTGAGATTTACAGGGCTTTCTCTAAATGCTCAATCAGTTAGTTCTAAGCGTGTGCTTTGACACTTACAGCTGATGCTTTCAACAACAACAAATTGCATTTATGTAGCGCTCCTCAGACAGGGTGGCGTCCCAGAGCGCTTGAAGGGATTATTACCCCCATAAAAGCGATCCGCTAATCGACTAACAACCGGGTTCCTACCTACTGCCAAGTAAACAGAGGTGTGTGGAGTAAGGAAACTTGCTGTAACGTTTTGTCCTGCCGGAAATCGAACCCAGGTCCTCTCACTTGCCAGGCGAATGCTCTAACCACTATGCTACAGGCATTCCCCCACATCAGATAAAATGCTGCACCTTACCCAAGCCAAGCAGTCTGCTGTTTTTCACTCCCCTCCCCTCTCCTCTCCATTGCTCTGGCTCCCTCCCCCGCCCCCTCCTGTCCTCTCCTTCATTCTCCGGTTCGGATTGCCAGTGTCCCATTAGATTACTGGCTGCAAAAAGCAAGGGAGTGTGTGGGAGAGAGAGAGAGAGAGGTATCCACACCACCATCCATCACCTCTACCTGTCAGCAGTGAACCAGCACTAGCGAGCGCTCCTCCTGCCCTCGGAGATCAGCAACCTGCAAACTGTAAGGAAACAGCCCTGGTCTAACCGGAGAGTCCCCACTTCTTGTAGAAGCTTTGTTGGTTTCCACTGTGCTGTTCCGCCGGTTGCTTCCCCTGAGCTGACCTGACAGTGATCTTCAAGAGCAAGTGTGGGCGACACTTCTTCAGTTACAGGGAGTGCTGTATCTGTTCTACGGGAGCTATTTGTAGGCGCTGCTCGGCTCCTGGAAGCACTGCGGCTTTCTACACTGACCGATCTGCCCCGCTCAGAGCATTCTCAGCCTGGTTTTCCTCTCCTCTTGCCCCCAAATCGTTCCTTTCCCCCCCCCCACACCCCATCATCGACTGCTTTTTTATGACTGGCCCAAGCGGATCCGGAGATGGACGGGAGCCCTCTGCCTCTAGTGACTGTGCCCACCAGGCCTTACAGTGACCAGAAGCCTGGCACCAGCGGGCTCCGCAAGAGAACCTGTGTGTTTGAGACCAAGCAACACTACCTGCAGAACTTCATCCAGTGCATCTTTGGTTCCATTGACCTGAGGGACCGTCAAGGTTCCACGGTGGTGGTCGGCGGAGATGGGAGGTACTACAACAGCATTGCGATTGAAGCCATCGTCCAGATGGCTGCTGCCAATGGGGTACGTGGCCAGGGGTTGATCAGCCGGCTCAGGACAGCAGGCTCCTGGCTGGCTTTGGAGGAAACGCAGCAAACAGTTGGGCTGTGGTGTGCTCTTGCCATGCTTTGAGCTGCAGTCATTGTGGAGGAAATCTGTGTGTTTGCTAGGGCATTGGAAAAGGGAGGGTGGGGGGGAACTTAATCTCTTGAGGTATGTGTTGCCAATGATCTTTCAGTTAGTGAGTGACGTGTTCCAAGTCAAATATTTTCTGCAGCTCTAAAAGAGTCCCCTACCCCTTGTAACCTGCCTCTTTGTTAGCGTGCTGTTATACCAATCCTTGCATTAGGTCCTGCTCTGTTCCGTCCAGCTCACCTCAAAGCGCTTCACGGGTAATCGCTGTCGAGTGCAGTGACTGGATATTTGTAGGCAAATATAAAAATGCAATGGACAATTTGGGTGCAGGGGATGGCCAAATTTATCTGGAGAATTGTCGGCCAGCACACCGGTTAAAAACTCCCTTTTCTTTTCCAACGGATTGTTTAGTAGATACCGGTAACATGGATAGATGTGTCATAACATGGATTGTCCAATGCCTCATCGAGGACGTTGTGAACCCAGTGAGCACTTGAGCAAAGCTCGGTCACCAGGGGGTGGGCACCAGCCCTGCGTCGAGGGCGGTGGGAAGCCTTGGGCAGGGGGATGGGGCTTTGAATATGTGGTGAATGGCTGGGTGGTGGGGTTGGTGGCTGAAGGTTAATTCATTCTCTCCATTACTCAGGGTATCGCACAATACCAGCAGAAGAGCAACCATGTTGTTAGCCAACTGTCAGGGCAAGTGACTGGGAAGGGCATGAGCTAGGTAGGAGATGGAAGCTCAGAGCAGGAGCAAGTTGTTTTTCAGCCACTATGCCCCAAAACTCTGGAGCATTCTTCCTCTATCCCTCCGCCTTGCACCTTCCTTCCCCTTCTTGAGACCTTGCTCTTCGACCGTGTCTATGGTCACATCCCCCTGGCTCGGAGTTGTGCTCTGCCAATGTCAAGCGCTCTTGGAGGCTACGCTGAGTGAAGGGTGCTGTGTAAATGCAAGTTGTTGTTGTTCAGATCTTGCATTCATTGTACGGGAATTTGACTGAATTCAAGGTCTGGATTTGAGGTGGTTCTTGCCAGCTGTGAGTGTTTGCAGTTAATTACAGAGCCCAGTTTACAGAAAAAATTACCGCATAATAGCCTCGTAAATTGTTCTCTGTAAGTTTCACCTGTAAATCACATATTGTGAAGCAATATACAGTAAGGGGAGCTGCAGGGGTCAAATGCTTGCTCATTTGGAAGTGCTAAAAGTCCCATATCGCTGGCACAGAACAGTTTGGGCTCAGTTTACATTTCTTAGTTCATACCTGCGGTGTATTCCAGGTGTAAACAACGATGTCAATAAATTGTATAAAGAGGGATTTGCATGTATAAACGTGTTTACACAACGCGCTTCACGAGAAAAGCATCTCGAAAACATTGGGCAAACGTAGCAGTAAGTGCTAAGCAGCAAGTGAGATGCTACCACAGAGCTGTTTGAGGGGGGGCTTTTGAAGGCAGGAGAGATATGGCGACTTCAGGAGAATGTGCATACTGTGGGGGCAAGTCGGGTGGGGGTGGGGGGTTGCCTGCTCAAGGCTTGGCCTGTGGGAGCGATGGGAGTGGGAGGAGGATCATGGGGAGGGGGAGCGATGGGAGTGGGAGCAGTGGGGGTGGGGGGTAGCAATCGTCAGGAGAACAGATTGGGTGGCACTGAAGGTGTGGGTACTCGTGAAAGCCGGGGATTTGTGAGCCACATTGCCACAACCAACCAGGAATGATAGTGGAGTTTTGGAGGAGGGGGAACATCCAGAGAACAATTGCAGACAGTGGCCCACAGAGTGGGTGGTAGGGGTTGCAGTGAGTAGCTTGTCTGAGATTAGGTTATTACTGAGCCTCACACAGACTCAGCCACACTCTCTTGTTAGTAAGTGAAGCTTGTGGTCCTGATATAGGTGACTCTGTGGGAGAGAAAGCGAGATTAATCCCTTCTGGAAGAGATGCCTCTCGCCATCACACGTGTTCCGGAGCACAGGGAGTGAGCCTTTCAGTGTCAGAGAGAGCTTTATGTACTTTTGACACTGGGTGACAGGCATCCACTCCTAGCCCCACAGTAACAATCAGTGAAATAAAAATAATAGTAATCTTTGCATTTGATATAAATCTTATCACGTCATTGAGACATCTCATTAAAGCGCGTCACTGTAGAGAGAATTGACTGCATTTTGGTGAGGCATGGCTCACAGCCGTGTCCCACAAACAGTCGTGGATTGAGTGACCAAATTATACTTTTTTNAGGGTTATTTCCCCCGGAAAGTGATCCATCAATCAACTAACATCCGGGTTCCTACTTACTGCTAGGTAAACAGAGGTTTGTGGAATAAGGAAACTTGCCTAAGGTTTCACCCGATCACCATCGCTGGAGAGTAAGAGGGGAAGCGGGCAGTCAGGGTGAGAGTGTGTTGAGTCTGTCGCTGATCATCACTGCTATTTGACAGATTGGACGCTTGGTGATTGGCCAGAACGGGATTGTGTCCACGCCCGCCGTTTCCTGCCTGATCAGGAAAATCAACGCAATCGGAGGCATCATCCTGACCGCCAGCCACAACCCTGGTGGGACTGAGGGAGATGTGGGCATCAAGTTCAACACTGCCAACGGAGGTGGGTTCTGAGCCAGAGCCATTCACTGTGAGGAATATCACATCCCTGGCTGTCTTGTCTGAGGCCAGAAACTCAGGGTCAATACAGGTGGTGTGACGGCAGGATGGGGGACGCTGTCAGCAAATGGCACAAAAGTTCCACCCGTGACACAACATTGACCAGTGAAGCGCCCTGGTCTCCCTTTCTCACTTGCGATCCCCCTCTCCCTTGCTTCCTTCAAGGCACGTCTCAAGACCTTCTGTTTAACCGTGCCTTCAATCACTCTCCTTCCCTATCCTCCCTGCCCTCCACCCCTCCTGATCCCAACCCCCTGACTGTCCAGGGCTTTGCAACGTCCTCCTAACGTGCCGGGCGCTGTGTAAATGTAATGTGTTGTTGCTGTTGTTGTAACCGGAGACTGCGTCTTCGGCAGGTCCTGCCTCCGAGTTGGTCACAGATAAGATCTTCCAGATCAGCAAAACTATTGAAGAGTACGCTATCTGTCCTGACCTGAAAGTGGATCTCAGCAAGATCGGCAAGCAGGAGTTCGACCTGGAGAACAAGTTCAAGCCCTTTACAGGTAATCAGTCTCAAACCCCCCACCCTTACAGCTCACCAGTCCCAACCCTCTTAAAGGTAACAGTCAGTAATCAATCATTACTATCATCTCATCTCAACCCCCCTCCCTCCTTTACAGGTAACTAGTCCTGTGAGGCTAGTGGACAGAAAATGAGTGAGAACTCAAAGTTTAGGACAAATGTATTCCCGTGAGTGGTCAGAATGTGTAGGTAGTGTGGGGATTGGAGAGGCTGAACCGTGAGGAAGGTTTACAAACAGGAATGGAGGAAACTGAGAATGCTTGTGTTCTCCCAGACAGCTGTCGGGGCCTGTTATAGGGGATCCAGATCGGCACGTTCTGAGGAAGGGGATTGGAGAGTACAGGAAAGAGAGGGATTGGGGATTGGGCAAAAGAGTTAGTTTGTTAGCCATCAGCTCTGGGGATGGAATCAACAACTTTGGCTTTTGGGGGTGTAGAGCACTTAATGTTTATGAAACTTCCTTCAACCCTCCTCTGCCACCTCTCTCCCTCCCCAATCTCTCTCCCTCTCTCTTCCCCACACCCCCACCGACTCTCTCTATCTCTCCGACTCTCTCTCCCTCCATCTCTCACTCCCTCTTTCTCTCCTCCCCCACCTCTCTCTTCCCCGCCTCCCCTCTCCCTATGGGGGTGGTGTGATGATATGGGCGGCGTATGGTATGATGGTGGGGGCGGGGTGTGGTGTGATGGTGTGGGGGGGTGTGTGATGGTATGGGGTGTGGTGTGATGGTGTGGAGGGTGGTGTGGGTAGGGTGTGGTTTGATGGTGTGGTGGGATGGGTGGTGTGAGGGGTGGTGTGCTATGTATATTGCTGATTGTCCTTGTTGCCCCAGTGGAGATCGTGGACTCGGTGGAAGCTTATGCCAGCATGCTCCGTGGGATCTTTGACTTCACCGCCCTGAAGGAGCTGTTTTCTGGGACAAACAGTCTGAAGATCAGGCTTGACGCTTTACACGGAGGTAGGTACTGGATTCGGGGCATTAAAATCCCAAATGCTGAGACTCCGTAATATTGGAACCCTGAGTCACTTCCCTCTGTGTAGCTGATGTAACTGGTACTTCCCGGTATCCAACCTCTCCACAAAATGCTCGGCTTTGCCTGCTGTCAGGGTACAATGGGGTAACGCAGGGACTGGTGACACAGCTGTTAAGTGCTGCTGAATGGGTGAGAATGCAGCAGGACTGCCCTCTGCCAGCACGTCTGACCCTGACCCTGCGAGGTGAGTGGGCGGTGTGCCTCACGTCCACCTCGCTGGCTATTTCTGGTCTGGAATGAGAGCACAGCGATCCTAAATTCCAGCCACAGCCTGCGGGGGCAATTTTGCCTTCAGGATTTAAGATGACGACAGAACTGTGCAAAAGTCTTCAATCTGGCCTCAGTTTGGAAGCCGTATTTTTCAGCGCCGTCTTCCAGATTAACACTGAAGTTAAGAATTTTGTACAATTTGAGATCAGTTGTGGTGTCCTGTAGTTTTGCAGTTAGAGCGCTTGCCTCGCAAGCGAGAGGACCTGGGTTTGATTCCTGGACAGGGCGGAAAGTTGGGCAAGTTTGGCCTCCATTCATCTAGGAGTAATTGGAACCCGGTTGTTAGTTGATTTGGCAGATCACTTTCCGGGGGTAATAATCCTTTAAAAGAAATTGGTCACTCAAACCACGACTGTTTGTGGGACACTGCTGTGTGTAATTGGCTTCTGTGTTTCGCCCACAAAATTTACAGTATATTCTATGAAGCGCTTTGAGACGTCTCGAAGACTTGATAAGGCGCTGTATCAAATGCAAGTATTATTAATATTAGTATTATTATTAACATGGTCTTGAGGCCGAGACTAGGTGGAATCTCAAGCCTTGAGGCAGCTAGAGATTTGAGTACTAATCTGGAGCCCAGAGTAAATAAATCGATAATCTTGCGCTATAATCTCTTGGTCCACTCGCTCCGTCCATTTCTTTGCCAGCTAGCTATCACATTCCCTCCTGAACCTGCTGACATGATCTGATTCCGTGCTCGCCTGCTCATCTAGTGAGGTAATTCAATCTGACCGGCCTCGGTGTGTTTAACCACTATCCACCCCCCCCCACCACACTCTCCTGCAACTCCCTCCGTAAATTCCCCTGCTTCACCATCCCCCTACCTCACATCCTCGCTGTGTGTTTCCACCTGAATATCTTCCCTGTTCCCCACCCCCCCCCACCACCACCCCAACCCATTTGGTCACTCAATTCACGAATGTTTGTGGGACAGTGCTGTGTGCAATTGGCTGCCATGTTTTGCCCACTAAATTCACTGTCAATTCGCTTTACAATATATCCTGTGAAGCGCTTTGAGACGTCTCAACAAGGTGATAAGGTGCTGTATCAAATGAATCTGATATGGCTTATCACGTCTTGCAGAAGTTTTACCTGTGTGAAAGGCAACACAAGTGCAAGTTCTGTGATGTTGAGTGTAGTAACTGAGGTTTTAGCCACGTGTTCCTGGCTCACGAGTCACATCTTGCGAGTGTGAACGTGGAGGGGAGAGTTGCGGTCAGTGCTGCTGACTTGTTGGCTTTGATGGAATATTGCAGCTTGTGTTTGCCTCTCGCTCACGCCTCTGCCTCCTGTGAGTAGTGATGGGGCCATACGTCAAGAGGATATTGTGTGAGGAGCTGGGGGCTCCAGCCAACTCCGCCGTCAACTGTGTGCCGCTGGAGGACTTCGGGGCCATCACCCTGACCCCAACCTGACCTACGCCGCAGACCTGGTAGCCGCCATGAAGTCCGGCGATTATGACTTTGGAGCCGCCTTTGACGGTGACGGAGTAAGGAGATCGCCTCATATTCAGCCTCCGTCAGCACCGCACAGCACACACCCACGCGCGCACACACAGCACCGGGCACACAGCGCACTTCCCCCCACACATACACTCCTCACTCACACTCACTCACCCAGTCTCTCGCTCACTCACACATACACAAATCACGGACACACAGACACGGACGGACACACATATACGGACACGCATAGACGGACACGGGTGGACACACACGCGCACACATTGACACTCTGCTGTTCTCCACCTCACTCCTAGGACCGCAACATGATCCTGGGGAAGCACGGCTTCTTTGTTAACCCCTCGGATTCCGTGGCTGTGATCGCCGCCAACATCTTCAGCATCCCCTACTTCAAACAGACCGGGGTCCGCGGCTTTGCCCGCAGCATGCCCACCAGCGGGGCGCTCGATCGGTAAGTATTGTGCCCCATCACTCTCCCCACCTGCTCACGCGATCTTCCCTCCACTCTCGCCCATTTCCACCCGTCTGTCTGTCTGTCTGTCTGTCCGTCCGTCCGTCCGTCCGTCCGTCCGTCCGTCGTCCCTCCCTCCCTCCCTCCCTCCCTCCCTCCCTCCCTCCCTCCCCCCTCTCACTCTCTGTCCGCTGCCTGCTGGCTGTGAGTGTGGGCCGGGCAGTGATGTGACATTAACCCTCTGTGCCCAGGGTGGCGAAGGCCACACAGATCGCGCTGTACGAGACGCCCACCGGCTGGAAGTTCTTTGGCAATCTGATGGATGCGAACAAGTTATCACTGTGTGGAGAGGAGAGCTTTGGCACGGGTAGGTTCAGAGTTTGTGAGGCTTTGGGGAGAGATTGCTGCTCTCCTTATTTACCCATTTCATGTCTCTTCCGCCCACCCTCCCGTTCACCCCCGATTCCTGTTTTCCCCCCCCCCCACTACCCCATTGTTTCTCTCTCACACTGACCTCTGTTCGACAGGCTCTGATCATATCCGTGAGAAGGACGGGCTGTGGGCGGTGCTGGCGTGGCTGTCAATCATTGCCACGCGCAAGATGAGCGTGGAGGACATCATGAAGGAACACTGGCAGAAATATGGCCGCAATTTCTTCACCAGGTCAGAGTTTGGCTCCACCATCAACTAGCAATTAGTGTCAGCACAGCTCTGTCTGCAAGTGACTGTGTGTCTGTCTGTGTCTCTGTGTCTCTCCCTTTCTCTGTGTCTCTCTCTCTCTCTCGCTCTCTCTGTATCCTTGTCTATGTCTCTCTCTGTGCGGCTGACTGTGCCCTCACCTGGTGTAGATATGACTATGAGGAGGTGGATGGGGAAGCAGCAGGGAAGATGATGAAAGACCTGGAGGCTCTCATCACGGACCGGAAATATGTTGGCCACAAGTTCAAGCTCTGCAAAGACGAGTACGTTGTGGAGAAAGCTGACAACTTTGAGTACAGCGACCCCATAGATGGCAGCATCTCCAGGAACCAGGTCAGCCCCCATCCCCAACTCTCCCACATATACACTTGCACATATACATAATAATATTAATAATAATCATCCTTGCATTTGGTATAGTGCCTTATCATGTCGTTGAAACATCTCAAAGCGCTTTAGAGAATATACTGTAAAATTAATTGACTATATTTTGTGGGTGAAACGCAGCAGCCAATTGCATACAGCAGCAGCCCACAAACAGTCGTGGATTGAGTGACAGTTTGTGGTTAATGGGGTGGTGTGTGGTAGACATAATACTGTGTGAGTGTGGGGAGGGGGGAATAATGGGCCCTTGGGATTGGGAGAAGACCGTCTCTCTCTCTCTAGTTATAAGAGGTGGACTATACATGCACGCGCAGAGCTTAAAGTCGCCAACTTCAGTGTGACTTCAACCCACAACCTTCCGCGTCCAAGGTGAGGGCAGCACTGAATGAGCCTGGCTCGGGCTTCACAGGATTGATCCCAGCGAGTTCCGCTGATCAGGGAATGGAGGACGCATGTTGGTGTGTGAATTCCAGCCTGTGACTCTGGGAGTGAAAGGAGAGGTTTAGAAGGCATGTCCGGAGTGTGGTGATTGCCGGGGCGGCTGTTACAGGCCTCAGTGGCAGGGAGGCAGGGGTTTGGGGTTAGGATGGCTCACTTGGACGTCCCCGCGCCTTGGGGCGTCCTACCGACGTGAAAGGCGCTATACAAATGCAATGCTGTTGTTGTTGGAGGAGGAGGAGCAAATACCCGCATGAGAAGATGGGCCGAATGGCCTCCTACCTGGTCATTAATGCTCCCTCGCTTCCCCATTGTCGCACTGCTGACTCTTATCGCTCTATACATCTTTCTCTTGCTCTCTCTGGCAGGGGCTGAGGATCGTGTTCACTGATGGGTCGCGCCTGATCTTCCGACTGAGCGGCACTGGCAGCGCGGGAGCCACCGTCCGCATCTACATCGACAGCTACACTAACGACAAGGGCAAGATCTTCAAGGACGCCCAGGTTAGTGCCCACACACACCGGCCCAGGTTAGCGCCCACGCACACCAGCCCAGGTTAGCGTCCACGCACACCAGCCCAGGTTAGCGCCCACGCACACCAGCCCAGGTTAGCGCCCACGCACACCAGCCCAGGTTAGCGTCCACGCACACCAGCCCAGGTTAGCGTCCACGCACACCAGCCCAGGTTAGCGTCCACGCACACCAGCCCAGGTTAGCGTCCACGCACACCAGCCCAGGTTAGCGCCCACGCACACCAGCCCAGGTTAGCGCCCACGCACACCAGCCCAGGTTAGCGTCCACGCACACCGGCCCAGGTTAGCGCCCACGCACACCGGCCCAGGTTAGCGCCCACGCACACCGGCCCAGGTTAGCGCCCACACACACCGGCCTAGGTTAGCGCCCACACGATACCTCCTGCACCTCACTCCATGATCAACACCACAGCTGGAAGCCAGCTGCCACTCGCCCTGACTGTGCTTTCTTACACACACGGAATCCCGTGCTTAAGAGTCTCCAAACTGAGAATCCCATGCATCCCAACTGCACATGGAAATCCCAGAGATAGATTGTCGGAATGGAATGCGCATTCTCTCTCTCCCTGGAGTAACTCATCCTGCTTACCTCATTCCGGAGAGTTCTGAATGTGGCCGTCCTTGAGAAAAGTCCCTGGTCCCAGACCTCAGCCTGAAGGTGCTGTGACCTGTCACCGAGACCTCGATAGGTTGGGTTTGAGACAGGGGTTCAGGAGTTGGCGGAAGCTCATGTCCTCGACACACTTCAGGTCACAGCACACGAGCGCGGCGGGTATGTGTACCCGGCTCTCTCAACCTGCTCATAGCAACTATCTAACCCCATCAGAAGCATAAGAACATCTCCCACAGGTCTGCTCTCTCCTGTGACACTGTCTGTGTATGTATATATATGTGTGTGTGTGTGGTGCGGGGGGTGGGTGGGGGCTGCGCTCTGTCTGTGAGGGCAGAAAGGGCAGCTCTGGCTGCAGCAGATGATAGAGTTAAGAAGTTTTTTTTGGGGGGGAAATAACAACACATTACATTCACACAGCTCCTTTTACTTCACCTCGGGAGGATGTCCCAAGGCACTGGACAATCGTCAGCGATTTGGACCCGAACTGGGGGTTGGGATCAGGAGGGGTGGAGGGCAGGGAGGGTGGGGGTAGGAGTGCCGAAGGCGTGGTCGAAGTGGAAGGTCTTGAGACCTGCTGTGAAGTGGGAGAGGGAGCGAGGCGAAGGGACTGTGGGATGGAATTCCAGAGGAATAAGGTCTAAAAGCATGAACCCAGACAATGGTGTCTGACTGACGGGGAGGCCTCTCTCTCTCTCTCTCTCTCTCCCTCCCTGCTGCAGGAGATGCTGGCCCCCCTGGTGAAGATTGCCATGAGCGTGTCTCAGATCCAGGAGAGGACAGCTGGGGGTCGGGATCAGGAAGGGTGGAGGGTAGGGGGGAAAGGAGGGTAATCGAAAGCACGGTCGGAGGGTCTTGGAGGAGGCAAGGGAGGGAGCGAGGCAGAGCAACTGCGACTGCAGGGTGGAGTTTCAGAGGGTGGGGGTAGAGTGGCAGAAGGTCCCTCTGCCAGTGGTGGGGCGAACGAGGCGGGGGACGTGAAGCAGGCTGGAGCTCGCTGAGCGGAGGGATGGTAGGGGCTTAGGAGGTCGCAGGGGTACGGGGGAGCAAGACCATGGAGGGCTTTGAAGGTGAGGACCGGCATCTTGAACCGTATCCTCTGTGTGATGGGCAGCCAGTGGAGTCGGGCGAGGATGGGGGTGATAGGGTCACGGAGCCTGGTGCGGGAGAGGATACCGCACCTCCCAGACATGTATATATGCCTTAACCCCAGCCCCCCCCCCCTCTCCAAATGCACACAAATACTGCACAGATTTTTGTTAGGGTATGGAGGGATATGGGGCAAAGGCAGGTAATTGGAGTTGAGGTATCGATCAAACATGGTCTAATAGAATGGCAGAACAGGATAGAGGCACTGAATGGCCTCCTCCTGTTCCTATGTTTCTAGAAGAATTCCATTGGACCCATCATGCTTGTGCTGGTAAGCACCATTGGAGCACTCTAATTTATGGGGAGCGAACACCGGCACAGACACGATGGGGGAAGAGAGCAGAGAATGGGATTAGAGTAGAGAGCTCCAGTGGGGGAGCGATGGGGAGAGAGCAGGGAATGGGGTTAAGAGTAGAGAGCTCCAGTGGGGGAGCGATGGGGAGAGAGCAGGGAATGGGGTTAAGAGTAGAGAGCTCCAGTGGGGGAGCGATGGGGAGAGAGCAGGGAATGGGGTTAGAGTAGAGAGCTCCAGTGTGTATGTGTGTCTGTGTCTCCGAGTCTCTTGAGTGAGCGTGTATGTCTCTCTCTGGTTTACGGGCTGGGATTTACGGGCCAGTGTGTGGTTTGTTATTGATGTAAAGTACACCCAATGCCCACGGATGGCTGTTCAGTGTATAATATCTCAGGCCGGGGTCCTGCCTCTCGCCTCCCTCATAATCACAAACCCTGAAACACGGACAGTCATTTGCACACGGAACCGCAGCCACATGTGAGACCTCAGATTTAGGAACACGAGCAAACGGAACAGGTGGAGGCCATTCAGCCCATCCAGCCTGTTCCAGCTGTGTGTTAGACCAGCTCACTGCCCTCCATCTCACAGCTCATCCGCGGTTTCTCTCTGACGTCCTTTGTCTGTGGTATTAAATCCAGCTCCAGTGTGGAGTTATTCCTCGTGCCTGACACAGACAGACGGACGGCGAGAGACTGATCGACAAACGGGACTAGACAGAGAAAGACTGGCAGAGAGAGAGAGAGAAGGCCAGAGAGAGAGAGAGAGAACTACAGACTGGTAGAGAGAGAGACTCGCAGAGAGGGAGAGAGTGAATGACAGAAAGAGAGAGAGAGAGAGACTGATGGACAGACTGAGAGATACCAGCAGAGACGCAGACAGAGCGAGAGAGAGAGAGAACGACAGAGAGAGGACACCAACAGACAGACAGACAGACAGACAGCAGACGGACAGAGAGAGAGAGAGAGAGAAAAACAGTGAGAGCGCGAATGACAGAGCGAAAGAAACTGATAGAGAGAGACTGAGAGAGAGAGCGAGAGAAACTTTTCCCCTCCCCGCCCCCTCTGCCCCCTCTCATCAGCCTCTCCCAGACTTGAACCCAGATCCTGTAGGTCGAACACAGTTCACATCCCCC